TTAAGAATTTAAGAAAGTTTTTGTAGGAGTACGGTTTTATCAGTGCTTTGTTTTGTCTAAATTCTAGGAAATCTTCCCAGTACACTAGCCGAAGGTTTAATCCTTAAAAGGGTTAAGGGTAAAGCAATTTTTGTTGTGGTTCTGACTAGCTAATCAGCTTGTTCATTGCATATGTAAAAATACTTAACTAAATTCGATATTATTAGATTAAGTTGATTACTTTATTCAAATATAAAAGCAAATCAAATGACTACTTACTTTATTTAAATACAGTGTAAGCACTGCTGAAATTAATTATATAAATCATTAACCCTTTACTGATAATTTAAGTGATTTTAAATGATTGCTTTTAATCTACCTTTAATCAAAATGGATTAAAGTCCAATAAATCAAATCAAATTAATTAGTGATCGGACAATGCAATTATGCACCAAACCAAGAATTGCACATTAATAAAATACATTAAATCTCGCTGACATAGACGCACCAATTAGAGACGCTCATTGCTCAGCAATGCACTAATTGCTGCTTTATTTTAGTATCCTTTAAGTGGAGCAGGATTTAATTATTAGTGAGTGACTATGAAAAGCAGAGTGGAGTGAAATAGTGGCAGTCGAATATTTCTGTTTAAAACCAATTAAGTGAAAATTACTGCATGCCATGGTATGGCAAATTTTTGCAAGCGAAAATTCATATGAAAATCGATGGAAATAAAATTGGCGTATGGAATGTGAGTTTGTGAGTTCCCAGCTAAAGTGACTAGAAATAATGAGACCTGGCGGTTATATTGCCATGCAAATGTGTACAAGAAACGTGTTGCCATAGCAAATTCCTAAATTGTTGTAAATAACCAGAAGTTCGGGTGCTGCCACACCGATAAATAATGGCTGCTAAGCAAACAATGTTTTGCGTGCTGATAATTGGCAAAGTTCGAAAGTTCTGTGCCTTGCTTTACTTTCCTACTTAGACCAGGCGGGCGGAATGGTTTTTATTTTGTAATTTATTTGTGGTCCTTTCCTTCTGTTATTATTATTATTTTTTCTCTATTCACTAGAAGCCACAACTGATACTAACATAAACCATTGAAATACTTCACATACGTAGTCTGCTGGCTTTTTAGTTATCGCAAATGAAAGCCATTACTTATCGACTTTTCGCCCGAAGTTGGCTCGCAGTGTGAGAATTTCATTTATCGATACATAATCTAATTAAAGCTCATTTCGGCTATTGTAGTTGTTGTTGCTGTTGCTGTTTCCATTGCCGCTTCTATCATGACTATTATTATGGTTTTGGTACTTTGGTATTTTGGTATTTCGTCAGGAATTTTTATTAGTATCCTTTTTTAATGAAATCAAAGTGAGCGACCACATAATAAACTTAAGGTTAAGCACGTAATAAATTGGTTTCGAAAATTATTTTGATAGTCAGGATAATGTGATGTGGTTGAATACAATTGAGTATTTGGAATTTTTCGAAATTTTGGTTTACTTGTTATATTATAAAGCTATATATTATATATTTGGAAAATTTCAATTTCAAGAATAGTAGAGAATTTTTTAAATTAATATTTTTTAATTGACATTTTATTAAACTTCCGTACATAACAAAAGTTTCGTAAAATGACGTAAAGTGTAATTTACTTCGAAATAGATTTGAAAAAATATTAAAACTGAATAATGAATATGAATAATAAACATTTATGCATAAATTTAATTAAAATTTAATTTTAATATTATTATATTATTATATTATTAACGAAATAAAGAAGCTAACACAAGTTAAGTTTTGATAGCAATTAATTGTTAATGACAGAAAACCAGTCAATATCTCATTGTTAGTATCTTGTGGTAAGTTAAAGTCAAGATACATTTATATATATGTGACAAAACTATATATAAATATATAAATATATTTATATTTATATAAATATATAAGTTCAATGGTAACATCATTATAAAGTCAGGAGTCAGGAGAAAAAAGTCAGACATTTCCACTTGAGACGACTCTTTTGAGGTTGTCTTAACTCATCTCTTTGAAGTGCAAACTGTCGATTTGCACAATTGCTAGTTTTTTGCTCTTTTCTACTAAAACTAATGGAGACAGCTTTTTTTGCAGTCATAGATATGAGTTTTATAAAAAAAAAAAATTCATTATATTTTTAGTTCTATAAAAAATGTTTGAGGCTTAAGCTGTATACTTCAATATAATTCAATAATCGTTCAAAAAACTTGTACGTACGACTATATCTTATAGGCATTGATTAAAGCTCAATTAGTTCTTAAATTATTTTCAATAATAACGTACCCAAAAAAATTTTTTTTATGTTTCAAGTCTTAATATTAAATACGAGGGCGGTTTGATAAGTCAGTGACTTTTTGAATTTTCCGCGCAGTTACTCCAAATGCAAAAGTGCTGCCGTCAACTGTAATCTACCAGTGGGCAACTTTATAATTTTCAGCAAGCTACGTCGTTCAGTTGGTGTTTGATAGCCGTTCAATGCAGACAACCTCGTGAATTTTTACGAAAATGGAAAAAAGTGAATTTCACATCAATGAAACTAAGCAAAGACTTGATAAATACTGCGGGGATTCGGCACCATCAATTTCAATGGTTAAGAAGTGGTTTACAGAGTTTCGTTGTGGTCGTACTAAAGAAGTGATCATGCCGGAAATCGTCGATAAAATCCATGAAATGATATTGGATGATCGGAGAATGAAAGTGCGTGAGTTGGCTCATGCTGTAGGTATCTCAACTGAACGGGTACATCATATTTCGCACGAATATTTGAACATGAAAAAACTCTTCGCGGGATGGGTGCCTCGATTGCTCACACTCGACCATAAGCGCAATCGTGTGACCACTTCGAAAGAGTGTTTAACGATGTTTTGTTACTGTGGACGAAACATGGATCCATCACAACACGCCAGAGACCAAGGAACAATCGAAACAGTGGGTTGCTAGGGGTGAACGTGGACCAAATTTTTGGGATGCAAGCGGTGTCATTCACATCGATTACCACGAGAAAGGTAAAACGATCACCGGCGAATACTATTCAAAGCTTTTGAACAGATTCGACGTTGATTTGAAGCAGAAACGGCCGCATTTGGCGAAGAAGAAACTGCTAAAAAAGACAATGCGCATATTCTCCAGATTTAGCCCCCTGCAACTATTTTCTATTTCCAAACCAAACAAAAGAAATGGCTGGGCGGTAAGAGATTTGAGTCGAATGAAGAAGTTATTACCGAAACAAACGCGTATTTTGAGAGCTTTGAGAAAACCTATTATTTGGAGGGAATAAGAATATTAAAAAAAAGCTGGACTAAATGTATCGAGCTTAAAGGTGATTATGTAGAAAAATAAAATGTTTAATTGCCGAAAAAAAATTGTTTTACTTAATATGTTACTGACTTATCAAACCGCCCTCGTATGTAACATATATGTATATATTTATATATATTTATATAAAATTAAAATTTAAATTAAATTATATAAAATATAAAAAAATTTTAAAATCACTTTTATTAATTATTATTTCAATAAAAATTAAAATTTATTATTTATTATTTAATTTAACCAATGATTTTTAAACAATTACAATAATTCTTAAGTTTCAATGCTGAATATATAATATATTCTTAATATGTATAGAATATCTATATTTATAGAATATAGAATATATATATATAGAATATTGTAATATACTCTAATTTTAATATAGTTATTTATTAATATAACGTAGTTATATATTCTTAATTTTGAATATATGTAATACCTATATATTTATATAAAAGACTAAAGTTCAGAATTAAACTTATGTAAAATATAAAAAAATTTTATATAATTTTTTTTAATAAATGATTTTTACTCAATAAAAATAATATATGATATATAAATATATGTATGTGCTCATTGACCGATATTATATTTTATAGTAATTCCATACATTAAAGGTATAATTGCAGTAAATGCTGCATAAATAAAACTTTCTCATCACTTATACTAGAATGTAAGGAACTAAATTCTTATATACAAATAAATATATATTCCACCAGTCAATTTGGATGAAAATTGCATAAACCTAACATAAATTTCTACAAATCGAACTTTTGTATCTCAAGTATCTTTGCATTAACATAAAAGTAAACGTCGGGACTGAGACTTTACACATTTTATCGTTGTGCTCGTATGTGTTGAAGTGCTTTAACTTGGGTAAACAAAATGTGACAATGACGTGTCATATGAAATCCAAATAATCATAAAATATATAAACAAGCCAAAGCACACACTATGGAAGGTAAATAATGACAACATTGTTAAATATCAGGTAACACACTATCAAGTACAACGACAGATACTAGCAGCTTTTGTGCTATGCATTACTCGCACCATGGACTATAAAAATAAAATGAAGTACAGAACTCAAGCGAAGTTTCTATACGAAAATGGAATAAAAAAAATCTTTATAAAACTTTTATACATTTTTCACTTTTTCAGCTAAGTTTTCTACAAACTACAAGGATGACAGTCAGAAAAGTTGCTTGGTTCCTTTCTATGTCTTCAGATCTTCAAGTAGTGCGTGAAACAAGAATCCAACAAGGACATGACAAGCGAAAAGTACGTTAACTGTTGATTTGGAGTGCGAAAGGTCAAAAATGGAACAGCACGTTTTGACCGCTTGAACTGTAACATGATACTATTGCACAATTCAAATACCATGTCGAAGGCTTCGAAGGACAACATGCGAATCGTGCATTGAGAGAGCAATTTTCCAGTTGCCGGCAAGGCGCATGCCCTGGAAATTCATTCAGAAATAATTGTGTTTTTGTTCTCTGTTGACATTTTGACTGCTTAACCGAAAAGGTTTTGTCCTTAAAGCAAGCAGCGCAGCGCGTACGAACAGTGACAGCAGCAGCAACGCCAGCTATATTTTGCCGTTTTATAAGACTGTATTGGGACGTAAATCGTCAGTTGTATTCCAAACGTGCCGGCGATAAGTTCAGTTCAGGAACTCAAACTCTGGTATTAGATATATTGAAAGTGAATATTTCGTTGAAGTTATACGCAGTGAAGTGCTCAGAAACACGTATTCACCGTATTCACACCGAATCAAATTATTATTACTTCCGCTGAGGAAGTAGTGCCTCAAATTATGCGCGAAAGTTTTTAAAGATTGCAAACAAATGTAAAACCCTAAACGAAAATTAAATTAAAAGGAAGATCCTTGCATAAATTATAAGGATAACAGCGCTTAAAAGAATCTACTAAAGTGGCAACACAGAGCGCTTGTTAAATACTGTTGCGGTTAGATATTTTTTTTTTTTTTGTATTTTGAGCGCGTTTTGTTATTTATTTTCAATTTTTTATTTCCGTTTATTCCGCAGTGTAAAGATTAAAGGAACTTATGACATTCATTGCTGTCACAACGTGCCACCGTCTTTAATGGCCGCCTAGGGAGCTTGAACAGTGAAGCAGCTTGAAAATTGCGAAAAAAATACGAAACATAAATAAAAATAAATAAAAAGTGAAAGAAAACAACATAAAAAATACAAAAGCGAAATAACAATAAAAAGTAGACACAAGATTGTTTATAGTACTTTATAGTGAAAAGCTGGACTAGCTCACAGCCCACAGTGGTTCTGGACATTATGTGAAACATATGTGCGAAAATCTCTACTTTCAACAAAAGTTCGTTCGCTCATTTGGTATGCGTATGTGTCCACATGCAAAATTAATTAATTTAAAGTAATAAAACTCTTGCACGCACATCCTGAAAGGACGTCTTAACTTTATTGCCGCGTATTGCGTCCATCGTTAACTTGGCCATAACACGATTGGCCGCTTGAATGGCTGTCTGCCATTAATTCCTTTTAATTTCATTCTCTGTGTCATTGTGTCGGGAAATGGACAATGTGTGACAACAACTGCACATGGGTGTTTAATCTCCTTGTAGTTACCTTATTAATCCAACATGTCGTCCACGTTGCCCGCGCTGGCAACGAACATATTTCGGTGTCATTAGTAAAGCGTGACATTGTTGACGGCATCGAAGATGACAATTTCGCTTCTGGCAAACAAATTAAAACCAATTTCGACAATGAGGATTTCGACAGCGATATCGAATTCTCGGCTTATGCTAATGGTAAGTTTAACTATGTCACATTGTTTTAGTTACAGCAGAATTTATTATCACAAAATAGTAATAGTTAGAATATTTATCTGATCAATATGAAGAGTTAAGGAATAGATTAAGTAGTAAAGTTCTTTTGAAGTTATATTAATACTTAATAAATGTTTAATATAGCTCTTTTATATCCATTTGGTAACAATTTATTATTAATAAAACAATAATAAGGTTTTTGAAACCTTCAACAACAAAAATACTTTTTTATATTTTTTAATTAATTAAATTTTCGGCTAAGCATACAGCTGTTTTGAGTATTGTCAAATACCCATCATAAGTGGTCTTGAAAACAATTCTTGTATAATTTTGAGACTGTAAATACAATAAATCGAACTCGTTCCCTGCCAAATTTAAACTCAGAGTCAGCGCTCCTTAACCAATTGACTCAAAACCGTACTTGACTTGTATATTCGCACATTTTTCTTGAGTTTTGTTAATTTGTTGTGAAAGTTTTTATTAACAAATTCATTTGCTGTGTTATATTAGATAAAACTATAATGCATTATTAAGTACAATGAATTTCATAATGTATATAAAAAACAAATTTGATATTAAAAGACATCAATTAAAAATTTAGTTACTTTGCTGAGTTATTTTTATACTTTTTTTCTTCTTGATAGAATTAAAGAAGTGCCCACTGGAAATTATGAGTTATATTATTATTATTAATAACAATAATAAAATAATAATAATAAATTTTAATAAATAGTTTTATTATTTTCTTATATCCGCAAGAAAATGTTTATATGTCTATCCCTAATTCATTATTTACACTGAATACGTTTTATACTACCTTATTGATACTATCTAAATCTTAATACTTAATTTATTAATTTTAATTTTTTTTTTTTAACAGTATATTTATTTATTATAACAACAGTTGGGGGATCGGCCAAAGACATAATGGGGACGAGGTGAATAACTAGAATATATTTTTTTTGCCAATTTTTTTCCGCAATTCCCTAAATAAATTGTAATAAGGATTGTGCGAAGAAGGGTAGAGGGATATATCAAAATAAATTTATATGAAAAGTTCCTTTTAGAGTACATTAAATTAATTGCTATAACAGTTAAGGAATTTGCTCTAAGCTAATATCTGAAAAAATATTTTCTTATGGTCTATAGGTGTTGACAAAATTGTCAACTAAAACTTAGTTTTAGATTTTTTTATTACTAAGATTTATTACTATATAACAATAGTATAATGTATATACTATGCTATATGTGGTATATAATCGTATGTAATAAATATTATTTATAACCTATTGTTAAAGAAGTTCTAAGTTTTTATTGTCTTGGGATTATTGTATTGAGAAATTTAATTCTTGACTCCCCTTTGAATTCGCCACTGATAAAAATAATTCAAACACAATAGTAAGGACGAAAACTAAATAACTGTTAACTTTACTTTTTAATTTATTCGTATTTAATATCTATATTATTAAAAGCCAATAAAAAAAAGTCAATTAATTAATAAATAGATATTTCATTAAAAAATAAGCATGAAGAAACAGCGATTTATAAACTTTATTTTATTCTGCACTGAAAGGATACAAAAGGATGGCAATAATTAGCAAATATCTTTATTTTCGCTTTTTGCATAATAGAATAAAAAAGCACAAAATAATAATAAAATAATAATTAATCAATTTATCACATTAAAAAAAAAATTCAATAAAAATAAAAGATATGAAACATTAAAAAAATAATATGGAAAGAAAATATAATGAAATAATATTGAAGATATTAATAAAAAGATTTAATAAAGAGAAAGGATAATAAATTAGAAAAGTTGAACAAATAAAAAAAGTAATTCAAAAAAAAAAGAAAAAATAACTTAGACACAATATTCAAGAAAAAGAAGATTTTCAATTTAAAAATAAAAAACTTAATTAAAAAAAAATAATATCCAAAAGCAAATTGATTCAATAGAAATTTAATTAAATACAAATAAAAAGAGAAAATAAGAGAAAGAAAGAAAATCATTAAAATCATAAAAAAAATTCAAAAGTGCATGAGAAAGAATTAAAAATGTTGAACAAAAGAAAATAAAAAAATGAGGACAGGATAAAATTACACGAAAGAAACAATAATGAATTAAATAAAAAACTATAAAAGGGTAAATTAAATAAAAAATTTTTATAAATTTCTCCATATGTTTAAATAAAACATAAAATAGTTATAAATTATATTAAATTATATCAAATTTATAAAATTATAAAATATGTGTGAAATTAAAATAAAAAGAAAAAAAAATAAAATTAAAATAAAAAACTTTTAATGTAATTTTATAAATTAATTTGGTTTTAATATGAAGTTTTTGTTTTAATTACTAAAGATAGCAATTGTTTAAGAATTAATTAATTAATTACTTAGACTTAATTAATTAGAAGAAAATTTGAAACTGACAAATATATATACTACATGTCAGAAATATATATATATAAATAAAATCAAACTTACCTGATGTTCAAAATAAAGACTGACAATTGATGGCTTATTTCGTGGTCATTATATTAAACACAAATAGCTTCAAAAACTAAAAATTAAAAAAAACTTAATAAGCAAAATTGATTAAATAAATACTAAAATAAAATGAATATTACATAAAAATATTATAATAATGAATCTTTCAATTTGTAACATTCAAGCACATGATTTATATACTCCTTCACATGTTTTGTATATACATTTAAGTACGAGAAAAATGTATAACAATAAGATATATATTAAGCAAATTGCTTCTGCACCGGCTGAATCCGATGATATTGTCGCATTAAGCAACTAATAAGCAGCTTTACTCGGAAATGTCAACAATCGACAAAGAAGTACTCTAAACCGATCACCAATAATATGCAAGAGGGTCGTCAAGAATATAAAATGGAACCAACTCCTTTTAGAGCATAGAGCATGGAGCATAATATTACTATCAATATAAACATCTTGCTGAATGCCGACTCATCCAACTCTACTTGTTTAAAACTGAAATCACAAAGTCTTTCAATACTTTTTATCAAAATTTCATTAGCACCTGGAGATCAAGTTCTATCTAAGCTTACCATTGAAAGCATAGTTCATTAATAGTAAGAATTAACCCCGATAATGGAATCCCTAATAATGGAATGATGCGTGAAAAGCATAATACAACGATCAATATAAACATCTTGCTGAATGCCGATTCATCCAATTCTACCTATTTAAAACTGAAATCACAAAGTATTTCAATACTTCCTATCAAAAATTTATTAGCACCTGGATTCCCAATTAAAAAAATGACACTCCATACATATGGTAGATCAAGTTCTATCTAAGCTTACCATTGAAAGCATAGTTCATTAATAGTAAGAATTAACCCCGATAATGGAATCCCTAATAATGGAATGATGCGTGAAAAGCATAATACAACGATCAATATAAACATCTTGCTGAATGCCGATTCATCCAATTCTACCTATTTAAAACTGAAATCACAAAGTATTTCAATACTTCCTATCAAAAATTTATTAGCACCTGGATTCCCAATTAAAAAAATGACACTCCATACATATGGTAGATCAAGTTCTATCTAAGCTTACCATTGAAAGCATAGTTCATTAATAGTAAGAATTAACCCCGATAATGGAATCCCTAATAATGGAATGGTGCGTGAAAAGCAACAAAATATCCATGTTGATGCTCGCAACAGATTGTCGCCATAAGTTTTGTTGACTGGTTAATGTTTTGAAACTCCTGATAATCCGGAAACTATATCTTGCTAAAATAGATTGCATATCTAAAAACGTTGGTATGGTTCTGTGTGGTTCTACAAAATCAAGGCACTAAGTCAGTTGACGTTTACATCCAAATACAATAGAAAAATTGAGAACCTAAAATAGATAAAGACTAAAAAAAATAGATATTGCTAAAAAAATAGATAGAATCTAAAATAATGTTGGGGAATAGCAAACAAAGTGCTGCGTATTGTCTACATCCTCAGTATATAATTGACATGTTGGGTCTGCTATGTTACCCATAATAGCCATGTAACATCTCACATACGCGTGTGTTATATGATGATCACCCGTTCAGTGTCGGCTTCTTTCATGTGGTATTTCACTACCTTTTAGATATCCATTTCGATTTACTTTTCTTTGTGGGTTGAGCTCAAAAGTCATAGATCAAATAAAAAAATTCTGCAAAACTAACGCGAAGCAGTGGTTCTAGGCCGATAAGTGTCCTACTAGAGCATTCGTTGGCCAATTTATCATTCAATCTAGTGAGGTGAACTAGTGAACTATTCAGTCCAACTCAGACTGCAGATACTGCAAGGAAGAGAGAGAAGCGGCATACCATGTGCTTGGGGAGTGCCCGGCACTGATGCATAAACGGAAAAAACACCTAGGAGGGTATTTCATAGATCATAAGGATTCAAGACTGAGGAAGATAGAATCCATACTGTCTTTCATTAAAGAAATCGGACTTGGAGAAATACTCTAACCAGACAAAGGGGCATAATAGATCTTTTAGGTCGCAGTGCACGATCCCTTACTCAATAATAATAATACTATAACTTGCTTCCAACACCATCACGTCAGAGCTCCATAATATATATAAGCACATCAGTCATCAAAATAAGAAATACTTAATGGAATCAAAGTCAAAATTTTTGACTTAAGCTATATCACAATTGAAAGGCTTTGAGATATTGAGTCTTTGTAGACTCTGCAACAAGGAATCAGAATTGGTTAGAGTACATTCTACACATATAAATATATCGAATTACAGCAGATGCATTGATGAGAACCATAGTGGGGATAAAAAAATAATAATGTGGATATTATTATGTGAATAATATCGGCAAATACCTTCATAATTGCTTAAAGGAAGTATGTTTGCTTTAAGAGACAGAATTTTAACTTTGCAAATTTAGGGCAATTAAAAAATTTAAATTTAATATTAACATGACAAATTATTTTTTA